ACAAGGATGAAAAGTAATTTTATATTATATTTTTGTTTGTTTTCAATCTACCAAATAATTTCATACTTTATTTATATAATTTTTAAATATAAAGAACCAGCATGATCGAACAAAACTGAAACAAATGGTTTGGTTCTATAATTAGATACCGAATCAATAGTTCCATTTCTAACATTTTCATTGGTGATTGGTTCGATTCGATTCAATTCCCTTCAGAATCGAATCGAACCAGATCGTGCCCACTCTTAATAGTATGTGTTTGAGTCAACAAAAAGAAGAGCTCTAGAAAGTGCATGTCACTACCCAATAGTTGATTTTGTTTTTTTTATTATTATTATTATTCAAGGATAGTAACAAGGTTAAAATGATCTATAAATCTTTACATGTGTAACGCATTAGATATACATAATTATTATTAGACAATACAATTTTTTTTCAATAAATCACGACGAATTGACATACGCATGTATATATTGTGATTACAAAATTGATACTATAAGAGATTCTTCCCAAAATAAAAATAACTATTAAGAATGATAATTAATAATGTTTGACTATAATGCGTTGGTTTAGCTCTTCATTCATCCGTAGTTATTATACTCGATTTGATCGAGATATCTATTATCTAGTTACTAATTCGACTGGTGAATCAGTGGTCGGACTGATGGATCATTGCTTAAAAATTATTTAAAAGTTCTTTAAAGTATAAATTTTTTTTTTCTCCGAGACAATTAGAATTTTTAAGTTATTTGTCACTAATTATTTATACGCCTTTAAATTATTGATTTTGTAAACTTACTTATTAGTGATAACGGATAATTTTTTATTTTATAATTTTGGTATATTATATTAAAATATTTATAATGTTCTCATTTTTGTTATTTGAAAATCATTTATTAGATATAGACCAAATTTTTTTGTTAATATTATATTCAGTTCATCTAAACTAAAATTAAAATTTTCTTAGATAATAAGTCTATACAATAATTATTTGTTATTACAAAAATGAAGTAAAATATTGGATTAATTTCTTTGAAATATTTCTAGAAAATCGTAAATAATTTATGAATTCCATATAACTAACACGAAAATGACTATAAACTATTACTTGTTCCAGTAGAGAGGTTTCATTCTTATTATCTACAGATCTAGTGTTCAATTTCGTAGTCTCTAAATTTTCAAGCTAAAAAATGTATCCGGTCAATCGGGTCGGACTGGGTCGACGTTTGAAAAAAAACCCACTTGCAGTCCTCTATTATAATCCTACCTAGCCCTGTTAAGGGCCCTTATTGTCGGTTAATCGGCCCAGACATTGTTTGATAATAATGCTTCATCACCATAACAAAAGTCAATAGCATACTAAAAATTCCATTATGAAATAAGACATTGCTTACCATTCAATGTCCATCCAACTTTGAGCCCCATTTTTTTTCCCCCAAAATATATTTTGGAATAATATTTTGATGGAGAATGCGTGGTTAAAAAATAAGAAAATTTTTAAAATTTACGTATAATATTATTTTATAATAATGTGTTGTTGAAAATAAGAGAAAATGTATTATACAAATAATGTGGGTCAAACAACTGCTAAATCTCAAAACAATTCTGGTAAGAGTTAGATAACAAGTATACATCAAATGAGTAAGAAATTCTAACATTGGCCCATCAAGTCCATAAAGTGCAACATGAGTACTAAAAAAATTTGCATGGAGGTCCCAAACCTTTTAATTTAGAGTAATGTTATTCATCTCTACTGGGGTTACAAACATAGATTAGGTGGCGTTAATGTGACATTAAATGATATGTGACATTAACGCAACCTAAATTGTGTTTGTAATCTACTGATGATGAATAACATTATTCTTTAATTTATTATTGACTACACCCAAATCTTTTATTTTTGCACCCATAACCTCAAACCTTTCACTTCAATTGCAACCGAAAGACAATGGATAAAATCCATCCATTAATCCGTTTGTCAATCAAAAAGTTTAAGAGTTTTGACTTATTTCGACAAATTAAAAGAAGTGTAAAATCGTCACTTCATCATTGTTCCATAAATTATTAAAAAAGAAAATTAGAAAAACAATTCATACCCCACCCACCCCATATTTTTCTAGCTCTCTCTCACCGTACTCTTCCTCTTATGCTTTCTCACCACCGTTTTCCAGTTTCTCTCTTCCCGCTTCTCATTCTTCCCTTTCGACCTCTTCAACTGCTCAGGGGCGGACTCAGCACCTGGCGAGCCCCGGCGGTCGCCCGTGCTGGATCCGCAAAGCACATTTTTTTTTTGTTAACAGTAGATAAAAATTTTAGGTTATATATCTCGTGATTCATTTTATTTTCAAACATTGCTTGTAGCGTAGTTGGTTAGAGGTTATACATACAAATTGGAGGTCCAATGATTGAATCTCTTTCAAACCAATTTATTGTATAATTTTTCTAGTTCTACGATTTTTACCAAAACTAATGCAATAGGCAGGAGATTCGAACTTATGACCCCCTTTAAGATTATTGAATACTTGATTATATGTTGTTTAATTTTGAAACTAAATCTACCATAATATATATTCCGTTTTAGTGGTTTTAATGCAATTGTAATGATTCGAAATTTTGAAACTAAATCTAACATAATATATATTCCGTTTTAGTGGTTTTAATGCAATTGTAATGATTCGAACATATGCTCATCCTTTGATTTATAGGAAACCTGACCATTATATCATTTGGTGAATATTGTCCATATGTATAATAAAATTATATATGTTCAGTTTTAGCAAAATAATTATTATATTTAATTTTTAATAACAACCGCTCGTGCTCATTCAAAATTCTGGATCTGCCACTACATTTACCTTTCTCGTGCTCCAATTAATCTATTAGGTAACATCACAACATCGTTGGTGGTACCAGATCCACCATCTATTCAACTTCTACGGCAACAAAAGCAAGACCATTTGATAGGAAATGACGTCATAAAGAGAACTTTCAATCCTACGGCTTAGTTGCGTACAATTTCATTATGATGTTAGCATATAGAGGTGGCGTCAACGATTATGATTGGCCAGAAGTATAATTGTTATGCCATATGTCCAATCAACTTTGGATATAAACACTTTTAATATATAAAATCGATACATATTTATGGCAAAATCTATTATTTAATTAAAATAATATTCTAATAAATTAAATAATAGAATCCGTAGATTCAAGTTTTGATGATTTGTTAATCACAATGAGTTGTGATTGTGAGATACAAATTACATATGATTGAATCTTAAATCGTCAGTGGTCGTATGTAATAACTATATAAGAATATTGTTATTATGGATAGACCGTCACGTGTGACATTTCTTGTGAAATAAGTAACTGATCTCACAAGTTGAAGTGTGGTGACACTTGAATGAATACGTTGATATTTTGTTATACAACAAAATATTGGAAACTCGCTGGAAGATTCTACATGGATAACTATCTAAGTGTCAGTGGTTAATCTTTGACGTTCGATAGTAGAATTGATCATTTGACTTGAGGTCATCATAGTGTCTTATATGAGAACATTCGTACTTTGGTGATGTTGGATGTTACTCTACCAGGGGTTGCTAATACGGCATCATTCGGGTATGTTAAGAATCGTATGAAGGTTGTGAATTGTCAATAGAGGATTCGTCACTCTTAAATAGTAAAAGATTGTGATCTACATTTCATTCAGTTAAGTTGATAATGAAATCTTTGGCTAAGGTGTACTCATAAGTCAAAAATTAAATTGACTTAATAGTGGGATGAAAGATATGATCGATAATTGAGATTGACACATATACATATCTCATAATTGATCAGATCAAAATGACGAAGGGATTATAGTTTCACGGTAAATGAACAAATTTAGTTTTTTCGTACCACGTGACATTTTCTGTCACATGTATTGCTCTGACACATTATTAGATGTCAATTTGGGACGATGGATGTGAATTGATGATAAGTTAAAAAATGAGTATATTAATTTATCGATTTTGATTAGATCAAAATAATAATTCATATCGTTAGGTATCGTGATCGGGAACCTGATGGGTCACACACAAAAGGAGAACCAGAAGAATGAGATTCCAATTAAAAATTAACAAGTGTTGCACAATTAATTAATTGAGCTACTTGTCAATAGGCCCGAATTAATTAATTGGATTAATTAATTCATGGATCAAATTTAATTAATTAGATTAATTAGATATTGGATCGGGTTAAATTTAAGAGACGGGTCAAACCCGCTTGGACTTATATTAGTAAGCCATTAGGGTCTCAGTGAAATTGAACAAACCACAATTCATACTCTTGCTAGCACAAGAAAATAGAAAATCCTAGTGCTCTCGTTCTTGTTCCCCGTGTGGATTTCCATTGGAGGCTGGACAATTGGATATCTGCGAATTGCAGTTCATGACTGTTCCAATTTCAAGATCAGAAAATGAGTTTGCAGAATTCATCAAATGTATTATTCTAATCCTAATTTCTATCTAAACACAAATCAAATCCGTGGTGGGAATTGAAAAATTATTTATTTCCCACTGTACATGATTAAGTAAATTCCCAACACTAAGTACCTGTAAGTTATTTGTTTCCTTTCGGACTTAATCTATTTACTACATGTGTGGTAACATGTCCTTTTCCAAAATGATCGAGCCTTGGTACCTGTAATCATTTTCCAAAATGATCGAGCCTTTTTTAATGAGCCGATATCGAGGCTTGAGGTTAGGTTTGTGAGCCGACTCAACTCATTGTCACCGCTATTTACAACTACCCAATCTACGCTTTCATTTTTTAAATAGTTTTAAAGAGAAATAGAACGTAATTAAGCCTTTGTATGACTCTGTTCATATATGATTTTATAAATATTCAAGTCATTTTTATTCGTATATTTTTATACATTGAATAAGATTTTAGTTTTCTTCTCGTCTTTAATATTACATGAATATTAACTTATCCACTTCATCTCGCAAATTTAATACCTAGTTTAGATAGAACCCATAAGGTAATCTTGCAGTGACAACTAGTTGTAATGGTTTAGCCTTGGGCAAGGTTAAACTCTGGCCTTCAGTCATGTCCACTGGCATGTTTAATGGTGTTGTGAAATCAAAACCTTGGAGCAATTGAGCAAGTGTCAAATGTGTCACTTGCATTGCAAATGTGATCCCGGGGCAGGATCTTCTGCCAGACCCGAATGGAATGAACTCAAAATGCTGTCCTAAGTAATCTACCTCAGCATGGCTTGTAAGAAACCTCTCTGGTATAAATTCATCAGGCTCTGACCAAATACGTGGATCCCGGTGTAACTTCCATAAATTCACCATCAACCGGGTTCCTTTTGGGATGAAATAACCTCCCACATGACAGTCATTCATGGCTTCATGAGGCACTGATAGGGGCACTGGTGGGAATAACCTCAACGTCTCTTTGACAATAGCCTGGAGGTAGACCAAGTTTTTTATGTCGGATTCGTCTACCCATCTCTCTTTACCTACTTTAATATCGATTTCTTCTTGGGCTCTTTTCATTACTTCCCTGTTGTTTACTAGTAGAGATAAGATCCATGTCAAGTCAACAGATGTGGTATCAGAACCTGCTACGATGATGTTCTGCAGTAAGGAAAAAAGGTTAAAATAGATATGTCTATGGTGGAACTTGATCTGCACATACATGGCCAATGGTTTAAATGCATAGCAAGACTTAAGATACTTCCAATCTATTGGACTCGTATGTTTATACATTGATGGAAGTAAAAAATGCAAGGAATCATGATCTACTTACTGTCCTCTTTTCTCTTTTGCCAATCTTAAATATCAAAAGCAATTTTGATTTTCAGTGTAACTGGGACTCGATTATAGCTGCATTTTTAGTCCTTGTGTTAGAGGAGTTGTAAACTGTAGATAAAACTGGAAGAGGAAACATTGTAGGTAGATCTTCGTAAAAAATGTGACGTAACTACTTGAGTGAATGATTTTGCAGCACAAAGTTTAGGATGTCTTGTTTAGTAACATGAACTTTACAATAGAGGATAATGTAGAGAATAGAAATGATCTCCTGTCCACAGTGTGCACGAGATATAATGCCCACATGCTAATGTTGCCACGTGCCAAATCTTTTTTTTTTTTTTGAAAAATAAAAAAAATACAGTTGACCGCGATGTGGTGGGCAATTGTTATACTTCCCACTGTGGGAAGGAGATAAACTCTAGTGTTGATAAAAAAAAATTGTGTTGATGTTCAGTAATCAGTACTGGACTGTCTACCCAAACATAGTTTTGGATTTTATCAAGTTAAGCAAATCCAGATAAAGAGATATTGACTTTTAAGTTTAGAGATGTATAAACTACATTTCTAGTTTTGGTGGCTCGTTTCACAACGTAAGCAGCATTAAGAATCAGAAAGAAGATAAAATTAATCATTGAGTACCGATCTACTTACTAAACATGCCTCTGTTTTTTATCGATAACCCAATGAATAGCTTTATATTGAAGAGAAGTAGCATACCAGTATTGTAGCCTTGATTATAGTTTCCTTCGAATGACCGTAATTTGTAAATTTATCATCAATAGCAGAAAGCATTACATCTATGAAATCTTGTTCATTCCCCAACTCTCCCTTCAGATTTTTATTCACATGTTCATCAATCCAGCTTTCAGTAATAACACTCAATTCCTTTGAAATTCTCTTCATGGACTTAATATGCCCCTGAAAGTCTATCCAGCTTAAAAGTGGCAACGGAACCGCATCTGAGAGATCAAACTGCCCAAATAGACGCAAAAACTCATTGATGACTTCTCTGGATGATCGACCCACTTCAGTTCCTGCGTATCGTTTCCCAGCAATCATTCTCACAATTATATTCAAGCTCAAGTGTTCAAACCACTGACTCATCACTACCTCCTTTGATGGTCTATCAAATTCTTGTTATTCGTTTGAATCAAGGAGTCCTTGATCCCTATCAATCTCCCTATACAACTCTTTGATACTAGTCTGTATCTCCAATTTTCGAACATGTTTTAATGCCTCTAGTCTCCTACTCGATAGAACTTGTAGCTGCACTAACTTTCTCACCTCACGCCAATACGGGCCATGAGTAGCACCAAAGCCAGCATAATTGTAACCAAGGTATTTACCTGCATTAGAACTCGGCCTATTACTGAGAACCTAGTCATTAGTGGTGAAGCACTCTTTACCAGATTCACAGTTGCTCACTACAATTGCAGGGTGCATCCCGAGACGAATTTTAAAGAATTACTGAGAACCTTGTCATTAGTGGTGAAGCACTCTTTAACAGATTCCCAGTTGCTCACTACAATTGCAGGGTGCATCCCGAGACGAATTTTAAAGACGGGACCATATTTATCGGCCAACGCTGCTAAAACCCGAGCCACCGGGGTTTGACCACCTAGGAGATGCAGGTGGCCTATAAGAGGCCAAGAACCTACCGGTTCAGGGGGTGATATGCCCTTACCCTTAGTTTTTCTGCTCCATAGATAATATAGCAGCAGCAGGGATAGAAGTCCTAAAACAGGTGCTAGCAGATAATGTGAGAGAGAGTTCATTTTTGAGAGATGATCAAAAGAGTTCAGAAATTGAAATGATATTCAAGAACTTAATCGAAAGGTTTATAAGGAATTATTGTTTACATTTCGAAGTTAGAAAAGACTTTGTGCTGTTGACTTGCATACCATTGAGGAATTTTCGTGTGGCTTTCTGTGGTACTACCGTACAAGTGCGTTGTCGATAATTTTAGAGTGTGACAAGTTTGATTTTTCAATGACAAAAATAACACATGATGATTTCAAACTTAATCGAGATTCGAGGTATAATGATAGTGCCACAGACAAGATTATTAAGAGAGATGGTCCAACTTACTTTGACAAGATTTAATTATTTTCCCTCAAAAAATTAACTAAAAATAAAAAGAAGAAAAATATGTGTGAGGCCTAATAGACCTACTCAACTTGACACGCTATTATTGCGACAAAAAAATATTATATAACAAATAAGATTTAGAAAAAAAAAAAAAAAATTCACGACAACTCGCTTTACTGTCACTATCCCATCAACGTGTGCTTGAAGGGAAAAGAACAATGTTGGACCACAAAATTGAAAGGTAGAAAATTAAGGTTTTCTGTGTAAGGGTATGCGCTGTAGTCGTTTGACAAAGTTTTTGATGAAATTTTTAATAAAATTAAAAGTTTTGTTAAATTTACGATTGAAAAGTTGAAAACAAAAATTGTGATAATTGAAGTTTGACTAATTGAAAAGTTTTGATAAAAGTTTTAACAAAACTTTTTAAAAAAACACTTGGCCCTTGTTTGAGCCCTATTTCTTTAGAATAGATTTTATAAAAAAAAAATGATTTTTTTTTAAAGCAAAATTATTTCATTAAGAGAGTACATGGTTGACCATGAATTCGGGTAAAATGAGTTTTAAAAATGGAACTCAAACAAGAGTTTAATAAGAACACCTTAGTTTTAGAAACTTAAAAACTTTACTTGTAAGTAAATAAGTAAATAATTTTATTCATCAAAATTGAAAAATCAACTTTGAAAACAATTTCTTTAAAATAAGTAATTTATTTTTTCAAATAAGAGAATAGTAACTTATCTGTAGTTAGCTCTTTGAAAACGTAAATTATTCATGGTAAATGAACAAGTTTGATTTTGTCATATCATGTGACATTTTTCGTCACATGTATTGTCCGACACATTGTTAGATGTCAATCTGAGATGACAAATGTGAATTGGTGATGAATTAAAAGTTGTATTTCAATTTATCGCTTTTGATTAGAGTAAAATAATAATTCACGTCGTTAGACATTGTTATCGAAAACTTGATGGGTCACATGCAAAAGGAGAATCAGATGAATGAGATCCACCAATTAATTAATTACCAAATATTGGACAATTAATTAATTAATTAATTAAGTTGCTTTTTAATATGCGTAAATTAATTAATTGGATTAATTAATTCATGGACTAAATTTAATTAATTGGATTAATTAAATATTTCACCCGGTTAAGTTTAAGAGACAGGTAAATCCCACTTGAACTTATATCAATCAGACATTAGGGTTTAAAAAAATAGAACATAATTCATATTCTTGATAACACAAGAAAAGAGAAACCATAATTCTCTTATTTTTGTTTCCTGTGTAGATTTACATTAGAGCCTGGACAATTGGGCAGCTGTGGATCGCAGTTCGTGATTGTTCGTGTTCGAGAATCAACAAAGTTCTTTGTAGAATTTATTAAAGGTATTATTCTAAACACAGTTTCTATCTAAACACAAAGTATATTTGTGGTGAGAATTGAAAAATTATTTATTTTCCGCTGTGCATGTTTAATAAATTTCCAACAAGAAGATTATCCTTGGTTGGGGTCATGGCCTTGTCTATATCGTCGTTGTCGTGAATTTCAATTCTCGATCCCCATCGAGAGCAACGATAAATGTGGCAAGCTACTCATCCATGCCACCACCAAGGGCGATGGTGACAGTAACTTCAACGTCAGACACTATTGCAGTGCCGAGCAAAACTGTCAAAGAATTCACGAATTTTACGTCACAATTCAGCTCACAACCTAAGTACGATTATCTGTATAGTAGGTCATCTCTGTATGATTGTCATTTCGGAAGCAAGTCCCATTTTGTGATACATGACTTCGACAGTGTACACGATGGAGTAATGTAATGAAGTGCTAAAACCATGGATGGGGAGAGGTTTTACGGGTACAAATACTATCACAATCAGTTCCTCGTAGAGAACGATTGCTTGCATAGATACAAATTTGCAGCCAAATGGATGTTGTTCTTTGATGTGGATGAATTCTTTTTCATGCTTAAGAAGAGCACCATTTAGTCAATATTCGATTCACTCTTCGAGCTATGTGTGGGGTCGTTAATGGAAAGCATTTCACATAGCTGAGTTAAGGCCTCAACTTGCCTCCTTCCCTCGCCTTCAACCCTCAAACTAGATAGTTCCTCCGCTGTCTCAGTGGTGGTTGAATCTGCTGGCGGTGGCAGGCAGTGGCGATGGCGATGGCGATGGCAATGGCGATGGCGATGAATTTGGTTGGTTGTGGTGGGGTGGTTGAGGGGTGAGAAAGAAGATGAATAATTTTTTAATTTTCTTTTTCCTTTTTTTATTAGTTTATGGGAAAATGATGAAGTGACTGGCTTTACTCTTCTTTTAATTGGTCAAAATAAGTTAAAACTATTAATTTTTGGGTTGATTAACGGATTAATGGATGGATTTTGTCCATTGTCCTCCTATAGTCGAAGTGGAAGGTTTGAAAATAAAAGGTTTGATTGTAGTTTGCAATGAATTGAAAAGTTTATAACCCCTGTTGCAATCTTCCCTTTATACTAAATGAACATGTCTGCCAAATTGTTTGCTATCTCATTCAAAGTAGCCGCTGCTTATTTCTATGAAGACAAAGGTGGTCAATGTAATACCCCAAACCAAAAAAGTTTAAGAGATTTGATAGGTACTACTCATACCAACAAGGTGCACCTTCTTTTTCGGAAGTCCATCGTTGGAAACTCCACAGTTAAGCGTGCTTGGCTTGGAGCAATTCTATGATGGGTGACCCCCCTGGGAAGTTTTCTCGGGGAGCGTGCGAGTGAGGACAAAGCATGCTGAAAAGACCCATGTTGGTACAGTGAGGACAGTACGTCGTCGATCTAACGGCCAGGACAGCCCGTTAAGTGGGACCCGGGTCGTTACAAATGGTATCAGAGCCGTTTGCCAGTCGGAAATCGGGAACTAAGTGCTATGCGGGACAAAGTGCTACGCCATAGGACGGGAGCCACCTCTTGAACTCGTAGGAGCCACCTCTAGAATCCCAACGCCTGGCAACAGATCCTTAGATGGATCAAGCGTGACGAGGACGTCGCGAGTCTAACGGGTGGTGATTGTAATACCCCAGACCAAGAAAGTTTAAGAGATTTGATAGGTACTACTCATACCAATAAGGTGCACCTTCTTTTTCGGAAGTCCATCGTTGGAAACTCCACAATTAAGCGTGATTGGCTTGGAGCAATTATATGATGGGTGACCCCCTGGGAAGTTTTCTCGGGGAGCGTGCGAGTGAGGACAAAGTATGCTGAAAAGACCCATGTTGGTACAGTAAGGACAGTACGTCGTCGATCTTACGGCCAGGACAACCCGTTAAGTGGGACCCGGGTCGTTACAGTCAAGATCCGTGCCCTTGAGCGGCTATTTGGTATCTCCAATATAGAAGGATCAAATTGGAAAGATAAAATGTTTAACCCATTTAGTGACAAGTAAATTGTTTGATGAAATAAATTTCTGTAATTAGTCTCCATATTTTTAAGTGGTTCGAGTTCAATCCTTTTCATCTTATTTATTTGATCGACTTATTCCGTGTTCCCCTATATTACAATTACACCTATCAAATTTCGTTATTTTTATTATATTTTTCTCGATCTAAATTTAAACCTCTGGAGCAATAAAAAAAAATCCATAGAGCTAATATTAAATAATTAGATAGTTATTAAAATTCATGAATTTACTTATTTTTTCATTTTACGAATATTAAACCAAGCAAAGACTCTGTTTAAATAATAATAATAATAATAATAATAATAATAATAATAATAATAATAATAATAATAATAAAGTCATAGTAACACAATACATCATACATACAACAATGGCTTCTCATAAAAGTCATAGTAACACAATACTTCTTGCGGAGCATGTTGGTCTATATTTCATTATTTAACCGATATGAGATTTATCCCTTAACATGCTCCTCAAGATGTGGCTCGTTTGAGCAAACCGATCATATCCCGGCAAGATGGTGGCTCGTTTGAACAAATTAATCTTGAAATTCGCTTGCTCATTATTTTTTAATTTTAATTAGATTAAATTGCTCGTTGAAGTTTAATATGCCCTAATAATATGTTAGACTAAGGGTTCTATATTAAAATGTCAATTTTGTTAAGAAAAGTAGTCAAATCTCTTATATGCTGGTCTATATTTTGGTATTTAATCGATGTGAAATTTATATCTTTAACAAAACTTTAGTTAACTCTCACAATTTTGGCAAAGATTAAGTAAATGAAATAGAATCAAACGGGAAAGAAAATTATATTTAATAACGTTAATGTGTCATGTTATCAAAGACTCAAGAAAAACATGTGATATTTGTTGACATCAAATTTTGTACCTCCAACGTGGCCAACAGATTCTAATGTTTCTCCGTCTATGCAAGCTTTATTCTTGCACACTTAGACAAACCGTTAGGCATACGTGGCTTCCTCTAGTGGTGGAGTTGGGCACGCGCACTTCAACGATCAGTCAGTTCGGCAAATAAATGTACGAGTGTGTAAGGGATTTAGACGCTAACCTCCAATGTAAAAAAGCGGTCGGCCTTAGGGTGTATATCGAGAATAATAAAATAGCAAAGTTGTAAGTTGAGAGCATAATCTTGCATTACCTTGAAAATAACACTTAGTTTGAACTTTTATAGTAGAAAATGATTATTAAGAGTCGTTAGATGAGAAGACATGTGTCCTCATCCCGACAGTT